TGTAGGAATGGATAAACCATAAACAGATTTACTAGAATCATCCTTTCAATTACTTAATTTCAAAACCAGACTGATGATTTCAAATGTATATTGCTTTAGCGTTCTTCTTGTGCAAATAACCTAGGAAAGAAAACTGGGGACATATTTGCATATGCAAAGACATCCAAACTACCCTGGGCATCAAAGACAACATGACAGGCTTCCATAATTACCTACACTATTGCATTTCTTTGAGATTACACTGCTGGGCAGAACAAAGCTTTTTTCTGTGGAGACAAAGACTTCCAGAAATATCTGACCTTCTTAATTAAACTGCAGTTTAACCTTTTAGGATTTACTAATTTAGCAATTACTTCAGCTTCTTCACAGATGATTTCTTTTTCCATTTATAGTCTACTCAGACTTATAGAGTAAGCATGAAAAATGCATTTGTATATATTATGAAAAACATATCTGACTTCAGGAAAGGAGTGGGTTAGGTGATATGCAAAATTTCTGAAGGAAGTCTTTTCAATATTACCATATGAGGGAGCAGCAATGGAGGATGTTTGGAGACACAAGGAGGCTTTTTAATATAAAACCTCTTCTAATTTGCTCTTGAGGTCTAATAGGGATGTCTTAAGAAGCATACTAACATAACCACTGAAAATTCTTCTTTACATATTTCTTTTCAAACATTTTTGTCTATAAGTTGAAATTACTTGCCACTTACCCCGAATTTCCTGAAATATTTTCTGGGCTTTTTTGGCTTTTTTTCTTTAATAAAACCTCACAGGAAATGAGAGCCAAGCACTAAAAGCACAGGCATGAAGAAAACTTTTGTTGGACTTTACCACATCCTTCCATTCTGGGATAAGGATTTTATCTGTTCTCATTGCTTTTAGGCTTTATTCACTTCTGTGTTATTACACTGCATTTTTGGACTACCAGAAAAAGGCAGTAAATTGGGCCATTGTATAGGTAGCATTTCTTCATAGTTCCTGAATCCAAGAGATAATAATGCAAACCTTGTTCCAAAAATTATTTCTTTACCTTCCCAGACAGCAAAATGCATTACCTAGATAAAATATTTACAGGATCAAAGACAGTAACAGTGATCTAGTGAATGAAAGGAAATGGAAGAGCAATTTCTCAAATATTCCTACCTTGCTACTATACATGCAATAGCAACAGGTAAAGAATTGGCTGCTACTGATTTTGCCACTTCTCTAGGAAAACATTGCCTTCCACTCAAGATAAAGTCTGTTTTAGCCTGCTTCCCTTTCCTAAGGAAACTAGAGCATTTCAAGTATCAGCCTTTCACCCAGGGACCTTCTCTTTTTCTACATTTCCCTTGCAAAGCAGATACTACTCATTTTTGCTCAATAGACACTTGTTGGCCTCATTTTTCCTTGTGAGACCCCTTGGCAGAACCACGTACATAAAGTGGTACTTTCTGTGCAATTTCAAGAGCAGCTGGTGATGAGAAGCTGGCAGAGATGGATAATGATGACAGCTTTTTCATGGGTCTGAGTGACACACAATTTTTCAGCATGAAATCTGTGGATTCTGAAATATACCAACCCACACTATAGGAAACTATCAGTTATAAATCATAATCATGCAAACAAGAACAGTAGACGAATACACTGGCATCTGGTTGCTCTAAGACAATTCTCTGATTTTTCAAAGCTTTAAAATGTAATAACAAGAATCAGATTTATGGAGGTATCACGCATGTAAGCTGAAAACTAAACAATTCCTGAAAAAAAAAAAGTGTATTGGGTTTCATCATGTCAGCAAGACACATTCACTACTGCTGAAGCATCCAGCCAAGTTATTGCTGAGAAAGATAATGGCACCAACAAGTAATTGCAGACAAATTTTTTTGCAATTTTCCCCATAATCTCTCAGGAATACAACAACCCTTCTAAAACAAGCAAAAATTTTAGAAACATTAAGAAGTAGAGAAGAAGAATATATTTTTATCCTTGTACTCCTGGTCAATGCAGTGTTTCACATTATCTGGTCAGACTGAGGAGACCTTTTTATTGTGGCAGATCAGTTTACACTTCAAATATGTGAGAGTACTTACCAGCTGTAAAGCTGCACTGCAGTATTCTGTGTTTTCAGCAGTCTCAAAGAATTAGAAGCCTTCTTTTGCTAGTTTTATATCTATATGGGGAAGAAATTTCCCTAAGGCTTTTTAAACTAGTTGCCACAAAGACTCCTATAATAATCCAAAGGCAAAACCTTTCTAAGACTAAATTCCTTTCTAAGGCTAATCTAAATTCCCCTTGCCTTTTTCCTGTGGAAGCAGGGAAAGATGAAGGGAAGGAGAATCCTGGTTGCTTCAGGTGTGGCTTTTTGCTGGGATAGAGTTCATTTACTTCACAGTAACTGGTACAGGGCTGTGTTTTAAATTTTGGGTTTAACCCAGCTAGGGTTAAACCAAACCACCTCATTTGCTGAAATAGTCCTTCTAAATGGAGAAGGAAGTTTCCAGAGTAGTTGTTGTGATAAAAGAAATATTCAAAGTTAAAAGCCAGAGGCACTGTGAGAAGACTGTTTTTAAACTCTGAATCAGTTTGCTCAGTAGTTTGGTACATACAAAGACTGTAACATAAAAAGTGTATTTTTGTTTAAACTTAATACAAATATAAAGCTCCTCTTTAAACTTTGAAAGAAAGTTAGCTTACTGGCTGATTATGAACTTCATAACCATCCTGAATGCAGGGCTTGGAAAAAATGCAACTAGTAATTATTTTCTATTTCACATGGAAATAGGAAAAAAAGTATTTTGCTTTAGCACAGTGAAATCCCTGTTACTAGACAGACAGTACAGCATCTGTTACTAGATTGTTTTGGCAGCAGCCTTACCCATTATTAAAACTATTTAGTGCTCAGTAACAGGATCTAAATTCTACAGACTCCACACTGCTTTTCTGCCTTTTCAGCCACAATTGACATAAAAGGCTTTGTCTGTTTAGTCAACAAAATCAAACAAGAACACCCATTATTATTTGTCTTTGTTCAGCCACTTTTGCAGAAACAGACAAAAAAATCTTTGGATACAAGAAGTTCTCATTGCAACAGTTTAGATTAAAATGTAACCAGAAAAGGTTACATATATGACATATGGATTTAATATATAATCGCTGAAGTTTCATTTTCATGTCACAGATTCCCAGTCTGTAAATACAATTTCCTGTAAGCCTATTTAAAAATTATTACATAGCCACTACTATAGAAGATCTTTCTAAAAGCATCCTATGAAATGAAGCCTCAGAGGACACATCTACCTGTGTTCCAGAATACTGCAGCAATGATGATGAGTATGACAAGCTTTAGAGCTGTTGTAGGCCTTGTAAAGAATGAATTCAATGCCAAAACCACAAAGTGCCACAGGTACCAGCCATGAAACAACTCTGGAATGTTCTCCTGAAGAGAACAGCACATGTGCTGTGAGTACAGCGGAGAAGCTTACAGTAATTCAAGCATTACTAGAGATTTGTAATACAGGATTACTGATGCTACAGTAAAAAAAAATTCCTGTGCTGCAGAATTCACTATTTCCACAGTGTGAAGAAGAAATTATTCAGAACTTCTTGAGGTTAAGTCATCTGTCATATATATGCAAGCAGTTAGGCTTAATGGAAAGGAGAATTAAGGGTCTCCTACTTGAAAGTATGACTAAAAAAATATATATTTTGTAAACAGAAAATCCACCATAATTCTTTGACATTATACTGGATTAAGTGCTGGAGAAAATGCATTCTGATGAATAGTATAATTATGCAATTACTAAGCAAGATAGCATGCCAGATTTATCTGATGAGATGGCTTTTCCAGTGCTTGAAAACTCAACTGCCTTCCAGTTGAGGTTTCTGACAACACTCCTACACTCACCTACACATAAGTGAGTTTCATCTCTCTTTTAATGGGTCTAGATATCATTTTGATACTGCTTAGAAGAAGGATCTTATACTCTATCTAGATCACTCTTGACTGACCACTTGCTACATGAACATACTTCTACACTCTCAGAATTTCTGAGACCTTCCAGACAACATGAATTCCACTCCATGTTCAGAATCCTATATCCTAAATTCTGTGCAATATAAATTTATTGAAAGAAGGCTACTACCTCTTAGATGAGTCAATAAAACACATAAGAATCTTTGATTTTATATAATTTTGCTTGATTTTAGTACAGAGAATTCCATTCACTGATTCTGTCACTCAAACTATAATATTGTTACTAACACCTTCCAAAATCATCAGGATGAATAAAATACTCTAACACTGTCTTCTTAATGTTAGCAAGCAAGGCAAAATTCCAACCTCCAAATAAAAATTTGTAGAAAACTTTTTAACCTATTTATACATTTTTAGCAAACAAAGAAATTTGTGTTCATTAGTTCTAAATTGCATCATTCTTTTTCATTAATATTCTATGCTCAATTGCTTATTTAGTTCTCTTGGAACATCCTAATTAGTCCATATTTTTAATATCTCTTTTCTCCAGCTCACATACTTAGTCTCTTCTTTATGTTCTGGTTTCTGCAAAATGACCTTGTGATCCAAAAATCCTGCACTCCTTGTATCCAATTTCAACAATATATCTCTCTTCTCCCAGGCTTTCTTCATTGAAGCATATCAAGTTCAGTTTAACAAAAATAATTTCAGTTTAACAAAACTAATTTCAGTAATTTTATGCAGTTGTGTTCCCATAATAGCAGCTCATGACAATTTTGCTAAATGCTAACTAAAAGTGATTTAAGACTTAACACATTGCTTATGATTAATTAAAAAAATAATTAAAAGTTATTTAAAACCACTAACTAAAATTATTTTACAAGTTTTAATCATTTTCAACAATTTGGGAGCCACCTAAATTTCTTACCTGAAACGCCTATTTACTTAGGCTGCAACATATGTTGCTTTAGAAACTGCATTTTAAAAATATTTAAGCACATTCTGACAGCTGATACAAGTTAATAGAATTTTGTGTCCATTACCTTTAGAGAAGATTTAGTTCGAGGTTCTGTTTTCTGCCTGGTGAGCTTATTTTGAATAAGCAATGACTGATCTGTACGAGCATCATAATTCCCATGTTCTGAATCATCTGTGTATGTATCTTTTTCCTTGCCTACATCTGAAGGAAAATCAGAAGAAAACAATGGGCTCATTTTAGATTATAATGGATAGAAACAAACAGCATTATTACAGCCACAGTTGAATATTCATTTTATGTGTACACATTTTAATAATGCACTTATTTTCCTGTTAAAGCTTTATACATGAAATGTTACAATGTTCATCTTAAACTGGAAGTGACTGCTATTTTTAGTAGAAGGCCAACAGAAATGTTTTTTTTAATTAGCCTTCAAATAAAAAAGTCTATAATGTCCTTTACAATAGTTCTAAAAAACAAAGTAATATGAATATTCAACTGCTTGAGTCACAGTTGTTGAGGCTCAGGATGTTTCACCAAACAGGCGGCACAGCCTGCAGACCAGAGGAACATCTCATGTTTTAAATCTAAACAAACAACTGAAATGCCAGTTCCCCTACACACATGCAGATATTCCATTTGAAAATTTGCACTCAGATATTGCAGTAAGTGCCTCAGAACACATTTTATTAGGTGTACCTTGTTCAAGGATGGTGGTAGGAGATCTTCATGGAGAAAACGTTTGCTTTCTCACTGGATTTGGTTTTAATTGCTCAGCTGAGCAATTAAAGTTTTTTACGAAAACTTAGCTGAGTACCATAACAGAGCTGCAGGAAACTGAGTACCTCCCTCAGAGATCACCCATATTGTCCATCAAAAATCATGACAATTCTTGCCCTACACACCCAGAAGAAGTAAAATGAAGGGCAATGCCTGTGCAGTGCTGGACTGTAAAGTTTGAATCCATGTTAGAAAATGGCTAGATTTGAAAAAATATATTAAAGATTAAAAAGACGGAATAATCATTGCCACACAATTTTATCTTGGCCAAATCGGAAAAAGAAACATATTCAGACAGAAAATTTACCCACAAATCCTGAGTCAAGTTCCCATCTCAGCTTTCATATCAACATGGGAAAAGTCAGGTGGACTAGGAACAGCATTTAGCTCAGTAATTTGGAACCCTAAATAGAAGCCAAGAAAAAAGTCGTGGTTGCTGTGGGAACCACAATCTTGAATTTCATGGATTTTAAATTCATAAATGTTCATCTGAAACATTTAAGTATTTTTCATTAGGTTGTTCAGTTAAATTCTCTACACTAATTACTATAGAAATTAAGAAAAACAACCACAATTACTCACGCACCCTAAACATTTCGCATATTAAAATATTTAAAACCAGAACATTTACTGAGCGCTATTTTTTCCTCAATTTAGTTACTACATAATGATTATACAAAATGTACCCTTGATAATTTCTAACACCGATATTAACCATGGTAAATCTGTGATGGGATTTCTTAATGTAGAAAACATCTCATTTTTTATTGTCAATGTGCCTAATTCAGGAGTTTTATTTATTTTAAACAATGATGTAACTTCATATACAACTTACTCTCTGCTCAACAAAAATGAATGTAGGTAAAAGAAGGATTCAGGTAGGTATATAAAGTAGGAAACAGTACTTAGCAACTCTGCATATTTGACTTATGCCTAGGTTTGAGCTCTTAGTTTTAGGAGCCAGTAAAATGAAGAGGCAGGCCTATGAAACCTAAACTAGGTCATTTAAGCTGAAAGAAAGACTATACTTATATTAAAAAGTCTATTTCAATGAGGGAAGTTTTAGAGGATTAGACATTATGAGTACACCTAGTACTAAAAAACAAAAAACATTTGCAAAACTTTTGCAACTTTATAAATTTAAGTAATTTGAAGTTATGAATAAGTTCTCCCTCTGTGCTCAATGCACTTCACCTGCTAAACATTTTTATGCTTTCAAGGACACATATTTCAAATTGCAGCATCTCTCTTCTATAAAAAAAAAAAAATCTTTCACCTAGAGACGTCTGCTATTTTGCCTGAAATGTAGTCAAAATTTGTTTTAGCGAAACAAAAACCCCAAACAGCCCTTAAAATTAAGTGTATTTATAAAGAAACATTTTCTAAAATTCAAAGATACTTTCTATTCTATCTTTCAGCAGTTGATGACTTATTTTATACATAAAAGTACTCTCCCACTATGTAATGCTATGAATACAGTAAAAAGGGGAATATTATTTAGCTCTGAACAAGCCCCTTGAGGCTGCAAGCTGCTGGTCCCTGCTCCACCATGGACCTCTACAGGCTCCAGGGGCACAGCCGGCCTCACCATGGTTTTCACCAGAGGCTGCAAGAGAATCTCTGTTCCAGTTGAAGTTGCCCTTGTGTAATTTTTTCTCCCTTCTCAAATCTGTTACTCCAAAGGCACTTCCACAGCCACTGATGAGTCCAGCCTTGCCAAGCAGCAGGTCTGTCTTGGAGCTGCTGACATTGGCTCCACCAGACACAGGTGAAGCTTCCAGCAGCTTCTCAGAGAAGCCAGCCCTGAAGCTGCACTGCTCACACAGACCCAACACAGCTTCTCAGCTACAGGAGTCTCACCGACACAAACACAACCTGCATGACCCTTTACATGACCTCTCTGTGTGAGTTTCCAGAGTACCTACTAACAGCAGAAAGATTTAAACATTCATCTTTTTACCAAGTCTTTCATCTCAAAGACCATGTTCACGGGCTGTTCTCACAAGCAGAGGCTCACCCCAGGGCAGCAGAAGCAGGTCTGGGCTGGGCTCGGGAGCAGCCAATTCCCTCCTGAGCAGCCACCCCAGCCCTGTCCTTTACCTGCCCAACTCCTGCGCTATCTCCCCCCATCAGAGAGAAACTCTGGGACAAAACAAGTGCAAACACATGCTCTCCTCCCCTGAGGCTTGGCCACTTCTTTGGTTTTCCCAAGTACTCAGTTGCTAATGTGTCCTAGAAACTTATGGAAAAAAATTCTATAAGTAAATTTTATAAGTAAAAAGGAGCAAAAGGAAAGAAACTTAAACCCCCAACAATCACAAAAACTAATCAATGCTTCCTGACACATAATTTGGCAACACTTAACACATGACAGTAAGATTTGCCCTATAATGTCACTTGCATGATAAAACATTGAAGACAATTTCATTTCTGGAAATCCTTTACACAGTAATGCAGAAGCATTTAGTTTAGAAATAGATAACTAAGTTCACATTTTGAATCTTTTTGGGTCTTAACTGCTTGGCTACCTTTCTTACTATCATACTTTTCTGAAGGGCCAAAACTGCATTTCAATTTTATGACAGGACATAAAAAGCAGTTGTTCTGATTTCTCTGTATCCTGCAATCCAGCAATATATTTTATATATACCCAGCAGTGTCTGGTAGCAAATGCTTTTCAATTGAAAAGTGGCATAGTTATGGAAAGAAAAATTAATATAAACATTTCTAAATAGTTTCTGTTTCATAAACTTTGATACAACAACTCTACTCAATCCTTTGAGCCTTTACACATTTAAGGATAGGCTTTGCAAAGCTTTAGTAAGAAAGAGATTATTGGTCAAGTAAGTAATTCCCTTTTGTCCTAATTTAAATCCTAGGAAAATCATGAAGAAGAACATCACTAGACACCTAGATAAATGACACTGTGATGGATTTAGGTCTTATTTTATTTTGCTGTACACCTGGAACACTATCTTATACAGATAACATAGAAAGGTTTTCACCTACCTGTGTATGTATATTTAGATATGAAAAACCATAACTACCAGAACAACTCTGGAGCCACAACCTACACCAAAGGAAGCTTCAAGCACCTGCTGCTTGTTGCTCTTCAGCCCAACCTTTTATATCCCTCATGCTGATGCATTGCACCTGTGTGCTCCCTGTGTGATTGCTCAGCACTCCTGGGCACTCCCTGGCTCCTCACCTTCAATGGCATTCACCTGTCCTGCACAGCTGCAGCCACTGGGGATCAGCCACAGCCCCACTCCAATCACCACTCACCCTGTGCCTACACACAACAGACAAAGACCTTCCTCAATGTACAATTTTTTATGAACTTTCAGACAGTGGTAACTGTTACACAGAATATTTCTAAGTTTTTTAAAAGGGAGTCAGTCATATATTAGTGCTCTTTAGATGAGTTAAAATGGTGCATAAAACTGCTAGAGACAGATTAAATGCCTAAAGCACATCAATATTTTGGACTGCATATTAAGTCCAAAGACTAATCCTTATTATGTTCCCATGAGCACTGAACAGATTACATAATTTCTTCATCCATACTGCCAGCTCTCCAGGCATGAACCAGCTCCAATACGGGAGCTGGACAGCTCTGGGTATAGGACAAACTGTTCTCATGCAGCTTGTCAGCCGCCTCACTACACAACCACAACAGATGTGACACCCTCATTTATGTAGGCACTGACCACAAACTTAGGATAAAATTACTCTAGAAGGCATAATGGAAACACCGCATTTCTCTTGAAGCAGAAACTGAACCTGGTTTCCTGGAATCATATCTTCTGTGATCTTTCAGTCCCTCTTTTTATATAAACATGGTATGTACTGCACAGGTTATACATATATATATGCCCATTTCAACTTATCATAACATCACAAAATTGACTTACAAACACCTCAATAATTGAGCATTGAAAAGTAGTTTTTATCATTCAGTTATGATTCTTTGTTGGAGTGTTAATTTTAGTTCAGCTCTTCATTTGTCAGTTCACTGTATTGCAGCATAGCATATAAATACATTGGGTTTTATATATAAACTCTGTAGTAATTGGATTCATGATAAATTCAGAATACAAGGTATCTGTCACAGCAAAATTGTTAATTATCTAGGAAAGCTTTCATGTCCTGCTCAGAAAGATGAGTTATTATGCACAAATCCTCATAATTAATCTAAGGGGGGAAAAAAACAGAATTGAAAAAATAATAAATTAGTTTGTGATGTTTTACTTGCTACTGAGTGTTACTTTTGTTCTTATTTCAACCCAGTACTCTCCACCTTCTGTGTCTCCCACCAGAAGTGGCAGGGGATTGAGTGGGTCAGAAAGAGGGGCATTCCAGTATGCCTGAAACCTCAAAGTTCACAATATACATTAGAAAAGCTCAATATTTATCACTTGGATTGAATGTACCACTTCCTCAAACTAAAACCACTACCGACTACCTAAAACTGGCAGAGGAAAAACTACACAAATCCATAATGTCCTTGATCCCATTCATCCCATTTATTTATGTGTAATTAACAAAGGTGTAATACATTGACTTTTTACTTCATAAATCCATTAAGATCATTAACTAAGCTTGTCTGACAGCCTCAGCTATAGCCAACTAAAATAAAAGTGAAGCTTTCCACTGAAGTTCTTTATTTGATGCCTGTTAATCTTCGCTCAAGATAATTTTGTCTACAAACAACTCAGGAAGAGGAGAAAGACATTTGGCCTACATTTCTACAACACTGCCTAATTAAAAATTCACCACATTCACTTAATTCCGCTTTCTTTCATGTTCTCAGGGGAGCAGTTTGAAAATATTCACTAAGATGATGATACCCATTAAACAGCCTTCTTTTCAAACTCCATCAAACTGCCAGAGTACCAACAAACGCATTGTTTTAACCTATCTGGGGATCAAAGCTGAAGTTGCAATATTCCTTTTTCAGGTTTATTTTTTACATCCTCTCCCCATCTACATCCAGACTCAGGATTAAACTGAAAATTTCAGACTTGGAGACAAATTCTTACCCACATAAACACAATACTTAAGGATCAACAAACTGTATTTTGAAGGTATACAGGCCATTTTGTTACATTCACCTTTTAACTGTCCCTTATTTCTCTTCATGAATCTAACAGATAGTGCTAATATAAAAATAAGACAATTCTTTTTACTGACCTCTGGCAGTAATGTTTTTAATACTGTTTTCTTGCTTGTTTATAACTGACTGACCTAATCAGTTACATTTCTCTAACTTCTATAACTGGGAATAACTTAACAGATTTTACTCATGTAATTTGGGATTGACCCAACATGGGCAAATCCATCAATCAAGTTAGTAAAGGGCAACTATTTAAATACTTTTCTTCCATGAGCATAGCTGTAGCCAGAAGAGAAGAAACATGCACACCAAAATTTAACACAATTTTGAACTAAAAGGAATCAATCTATCTTCTCCTGAGCTGCTGAGCCTTCCATGTATCTTTTCAGGTTAAAACTAAGTAATAGGACTGAAAACCAGCAACGTTTATTATGAGAAAGAATTACTGCTGACATATATAAATACACAATAAATCAGCAAGTGTATGTGTAAGCAATTCACATACATAATAAAATAGAGAAAGATATTACAAATAGAGCAGGGTATTAAAAAAAAAAGAAAAGAAGGAAATTATAACAGTAAAATCTCCTAGTATCCATGCTCGACAACCAATTACCCAAGGAAAGGGCAGCAGCTTTAACTGGAACCTTACTAAGACTTGATTTTCTTATATGATCTTCATGCCAAATTCTTGTTCTGTGCCATGATTTTGGAATATCTGGTTTTGAAGAAATATCAATTTCACTATTTCCAGTAGTTACCTACCCAGGAAACCTTGAGGAGCCCTCTCATCTATCATCTATTTTAGGGATCAAGAAAATTCAAAGCTAAATTATGTGAGAGGTGAGCAGACCTAGCTTTCTGAAAGCAGATATCTTGATATCTTTCATTCAGCATGAATATCTGATTTCTAGTTTGATGTTCATCAACTGTGAGCAAAAATATCTTTCCTAGTAGTTGTGCAAGGTGCAGAAATATCTTTGTGTCTCTATGGGTAAAATAGATGGCAACTACCTCATCCTGGAACTTGTAAATTACTACCCATGTGTGTATTTACAGATTCAATTTGCAGTTACAAGATGATTCTAAGAATAACTTTTTCCCTACTTACTCTGACTTAATTACAATATCAAAATGGTAGCAAAGCATTACAAATATGGCTATTTTCTTCATTACCTTTTTTTTGCTTCCCAAATTTTAACACTTTTTGTATGTAAATGTCCAAAGCAAATACACAAAATATCAAAAAAAGCCCAACAACAGAACTGCAGCCACAATAATAGTGAATGACATGACTATAAAGGAAAAATAAGTGAATAATAACAACTTTAAAGGAATTTCAAGTACATTTGTTCAAAATTATTATTTTATGAAGAACTGTTATAGGAAAAGGATATATTCAATATATGACACTTCTCTGTCTTCAGTTCCTGCTTTTAGCCTAAAAGGGGAGACAGTATCAGGAAATTTATGACAGACACATTTCTTTAATCACACTTAGTCTCCCCTTTCAAAAAAAATGGAAGTTCAGGGTAAGTATGGCCTTTCCACACTTAAATACTGTGCGATTAATCAAAGAATCAGTAATTTGTCATTGTTTCAGTTCAGACAACAACTTACCTGAAAATGGATCACTGTATTCTGTATTAGACAGTTTAAGCAAGTTGCTTTCCAAAGTCTCCACCACTTTAGCTGAAATAAATGCAATATCTGTATCAGCATTGACATGTATTTTCTAAGTAAAAAAATCTTTACTGTAAAAAACACTTTTCAAAGTCGTCAGTAACTCAAATAAAACATTTTGGACTGAAATTTTGAAGAGCACTTTCTATCAATAGAAAAAGAGTAAGATAACTTTAATGAAGACTTTCTATTACTAAGAGAAGTTTAACTCAATAAAATAACACACAAGAACAATAATTAATGCCCAGTGTCTATCAACATTAAAGACAGACTTATCAAAAGCTACTACCAGATGAGTTAATTTATTCTACAAAGCTTCACACACATCTGGCAATAGAGGATGGCAAGAGTTGGTAACAGGTGACACACAGTGACTGGGATTCCAACTATACTAGTTCCTCTGATAAGGCATGTGTATCTGTTAAATTAGAAATCCTAAAATAAAAGTAGTTCCTTATCCCACATGAGCTAAAATTTGGAAGGATTTTCTCCATTCATTTTCATTCTTTCCATACAGCTCTTCCCTGATTCTACTGTTCGTGAATGAATGCATCTCCTTCTACATGTTCATATATAAAGACATTTTTTGCCTAAAGCCTAATATTTATTCTTTCTTTCTCCTCTAGGACAGACTACAAAAACTTTCATACTTTTCTCCAGCATAAATGAGCAAGACTTTCTTGTCTTATTACCAGTGAGAAGGAAATAATGTCATCATTGACAAAAATAAAAATTAGTTTAAAACTCACTTAAAATATTATAAAGATTCACTTAAGAACATGTTAATGTAATATGTGTAGGTGTTTTCTGCAAAAACATTTCTTCAACAAACCACAGATATCTAAATAAATCAGTTTATCAGAGCAGGAGCAAACTCCTGAAAGGGAAAAACGTCCTACCTCGTTCTGACACGACATCCACTGCAGCTGCTGACGTCCCTGCACTCAAAGGCTGGGGCTGGAGCTGTGGCTGCACACGGTTTGGCTGCAGAAATGATGAATGCTTGCTCAGGCTCTGAGGATGTGTTTGGCTCTGGGCAAGGCATGGCATAGATCTTCTAGAGGGTTTTAATGGGTGCTCTTTCACTGTCTCGCTCTTGCTTGTATTCATACCTGAAATAGCCAAAAGAAAAATTAACAAAATAACATAATAAGCTCTAGCATATTGGATCATGACAAAGAAAGATGGCTAATTATGAATCCACTTAATAAGCCACTCCTCAACTAAACAAAAATGCTGTGCTAAAAGGTTTGAAGTTATTAAAAAAACAATGTAATGAACGAAAATACAGATGCTAATACTATCCCATTCTGTAAATTATTTACATTTTCCTTTGAAAGCTACAAAAATTTCCCCTTCACCATTATGGAAATAAATTAATGTTCTTAATCCTCTGACCTGTTGGGTAACCTTTGTGAAAAAATACTGTAGAACTGCGATGGTGTTTGAGGGTCCCCAGGATGAGGGAAGAGATGAGAATCTTGACTCCATGTTTCAGAAGGCTGATTGATTATTTTATGATACTGTATTATATTAAAAGAAAATTATATATTAGAACTATACTAAAGAAAGAGAAAGCATACACCAGAAGCTAGAAAGGAATGAATAATAAAGTCTTGTGATTGCTCACAGCCTCAACTCAGCTGACTGTCATTGGTCATCAAGTAAAAACAATTCACATGCTGAGTAAACAATTCTCCAAATCACATTCCAAAGTAGCAAAACATGGAGAAGCTGAAGCTTCCCAGCTTCTCAGGAGAAAAAATCCTAGTGAAAGGATTTTTCAGAAAATATGTCTGTGACAGAAAACAACAAACAAATGTGGCAAAAAAGACCCCAAACATTCCAGGGTCAGTTAGAACAAAGCAGCTGTGACAATGATTTGTCTCTTTAAGAGTTGTTTCTGAGAGACCTAGAAATTAAGTATCTTTCCTAAGTTTAAATGGAAGAAAAACTCAGTATTGTAAACCTCCTGATTCAATACAGAGCATTGACACACACAATCCTTGTACAAGTTAATTCAACACAGAGCAAAACCAAAGTCCACTAGTGTAGCTAGTTTCCTTCACTGTACCGTTTCTCTGCTCAACAGAACAATTTACTTTATACACAGGGAAGCTTCTGTTGCCTCAGAAGATACCGTAAGTCTTTAAATAAGTATGTGCAGAAAGAACTCTGCCTCTTAATAAAAAGGCTGCTGTGTGCCAACAGAGAACACAGCAGGCACTGGGCCTTGACAGTGCCTTGTTCAGAGCAGAACAATGCCACACGTCTGTTGTGCTACCTGGAAGGTTTCCAGAGAGTCTCCGTTATAGTTCTTTCTAAATGGACATTTATTAGACAAAAATCTGCAGCAGTTAGACACAGCAATGGGTAATACAGAATAATATATAAAGACGTACACTTTGTAATTGTTCTGGATGGCTTCAGTGATCCATTTCCTAGACAGGGATAAGCTGCCTGTAAGTATGGACCCCACTGCATAATTATTAGAGTTGCCAAAGAGAAATGGTCCTTTCATCTACACTGGAGTCACTATGTGTGGCGAGATGAATCATTGTTACCAAAGAAATTTATGATAATACAAATAACACATACTGACATTCAATTTTAGCCCAAATTTAAGTGATACATATAAAAAAACAGAATGCAATTATTTTATGACATAATGCCTCAACTGAAAAGAAAATTCTTCCCTTTTGCTCTCTCTTACTCTGTATTTCCCTGTGTCATTTCAAATGGATTCCTTAATATCATGCTGCTTCGGCTTGAAGAAAGTGAATCACAGCAAAGTAATCTCACAGCAGATTTGCTCTTATGTTATTGGTATGAACCACCTTAAAAATTGGAAAAGTGAATTCATACTCTGCTACTGTGCCAGAGTCCAGTTCTGTGATATGCTAGTTTTGATGGCACTTGCTGCTGTATGCAAATGCTTACCCAGCACAAATAACACGTGGCCAACATCATTAATTGGATCACTAAATTGTGTTACTGAAATTATTTTCATTCCTTCCTCTCTTTTCAACAGAGTAGTTTTCTAGACTACATATTTCCAGCTAGAACTTTGTTACACAGTCCTTGCTTGTTCAGGGATCATTTCATCTGCAATAGTGGACATGTATACACTTAGCAGAAAAAGCCCAACAGACTTGTTTTTCTACAACAATTTCATTTATTCCTTCTTTTCCTACATAATATTCCTCTGGTAGCTAGCATGAGCATGGGAACAATTATAACATGAGTGTAGAAATTCCTCAAGTAGGCAAAAAAAGGTAAATAATGTATGGTTTAATTAGATGCTGCCTTTTTTTTTTAGCACTTCTGTCTTGGAAAGTCTTCTTTCCAAGGGGATGCTGGGGATTCCTGTTACAGAGGCAAATCTCTACGTGGCTCAAAGCCAGAAAAGAGAGCTGTACTACAGCTGTAGAGCCAACAGAGAGCTGAACTACTCACAGCTTTCTGATAGGTCAGGCAGGAAAGATGGAGCTAGAATATGAGAAGCTTTTCTGGTTTTTAGGTGAGTATGCACAATTTAATTGCATGCTCAATATTATGCCAATCTAGAAAGACTCTAAATAAAGCAAACTCTCAGAGGCCTTCAGGTTTTGGCCACTAGAAACATAAAGAAAAATTTTGCTTTTTGCCTCATTCTGTGAAATACAAATTCAGATGATAATTTTTGTACTGTTAAGAAAAGAATTGATCTTTCATTTGCTCCTTATTTTAAATGAGGAAAGTTTGGCAGCTAGTCCCTATTAATTGTTAACTTAATGCTGTAAGCAAGGCTGGATCAGTGCTAGCCTCATAAAGAGCAGCCCAGTAACTATCCCCCATTCAATCCAGCATAAATCCTAGCATCAAAAAGAAGTAGCTTCTATAGAAGCCAAATCATAACACCAGCTTTTGGCCAGCTAATGAGGTACACATCATGTGTGCTGTGCTGCTTGAGGCCTTGCCCTGAACAACACTTAGGCACTGATCTCCTGACAGAAAACGAAGTCACTTATTTTGGTCACTGCATTTTCAGTCATAACCAATACTGTTCTATATATTCCCAGTTTGATCTGAAAAAACACCCCTAATCCTCCTCCCTCCCCTCCAACCCTATCCCCAGATTTCATTTACAGAGACAGACCTAGTTTATAACAACTGCCAAGCCCTTGGTCCTATTATTCAATTCTAGTAAAGTTGATTATATTCAGCTGAAAACCTGATGCTAGCAAAACTTCAGTGGAGAATTGCAGGTAGGCAGAAGGTACTCAGGACAATGACCTGGCTAAGGCTTACAGTATTTCCATGGGAAAAGTGCTGCAGTAAAACTGAATAAAAACTGAATTTGTGCCAGAAGATATTTTTTGCAGGGGATATTCTTTCCCTGTCACAGGGTTATTTGAATGCTTAAGTTATATTTTTAAGTCTTGAAAAACTTCTGCAGAAAAGGTGCATGCATTTTACTACTACTTTCAAAACACTGCCTATAGGGTTTCAAGCATCTGAAGCCGGAAAGGGATCATAACCTCTGGCATTACTAATGACAACACCAATCAAGTATCTCATTATTAATTTCACTAATTTAAAAGTTTATATTTTTTCACAGTCATCTCATTACTGAAAAACACAGCACACCAGATGGTTACAATGTTTACTGAACAAACAAGCTATCCTAAGGAGCCTCAGCCATATAAATCTTCAGTTTTTCTCAACCAGAGATGTTGGTATCCTCTATTCAGTATGAGCAACACTACTTTTGTTGTGTGGGAATGATTTTGAAGAAAACAAGGAACAGCGATTCCTTCAAATACAGCAAAACACACTGTGTTTATGTTCCATCACATAGATTGTAGCTCCATCTGGACCAAGATAAAAACTTAGACTATTCTAAATCTTCACATGATGAAGCAAGCTCAGAATCCTAAGACCAGCATCTTGATTTATTCCTTATCATTCCTTATTTAACAGGTCTACTTTTCACTGTGAAACTCCAATGTAACTCCCAAGCTTTTAAAATGGAAGCTTTAAAATTGATCCCTTTGCCCCATAAAGTCAACTAGTACCAAAATCAAAGCAAAGTAACACAATCTAGAAGCAGAGCTACAATCCATTTCTCTCCTAAACGCGTTTGGGTGAGACACAGATCGGGATGACTTCACATCTGAGGTTACAGACAAGGCTGAGGAAGAGGCACAGGGGATGCTGATGTGAGACCCAGAAGAACTGATGAGTTAGGATGCCCAGAAGAACAGAGGATGCTCCTTAACCCCAGCTGCCAGTCTGCCCTGGAACAGCCAGGTTTTGTTCTCACACATTTATTTGCTCCCACAAACAAAGTGAGACGCGATTTTGCTGCCCATAGCCATGTATGAAAGTCACATTGATTTTGGCAGCTCGTGGCTGTACAACTACTGCTCACCTGAGAACTCCTCTGCACATCCTTAGAGCTCTCAATCCTGAAGAGCTGAGCATTTTTTTCGTGTTTGAACTGCAGTGCAGTTTCCTGGTAGCTTTAAGTGACTGCTGAGAGTCAGCATGTGACAAAGGCTGCTTGGAGGAAGGAGCAGGATACAATGGAAAGCTTGTTAAAAAGACCGCTTTTTTTTCACCTCCTTCAGCAACCTTTGTACCAAACTCAACTCAGCTACTTGAAGATTAGGCCCACGTAGGCAGCTCAATGCTGTGGAGGTGTACAGAGCTATTTTAAAAATCTGTAATTTTACAGTTTTCCTAAATTACAGGGAGAAAGTTGAGATTATAACTTAAGTACTTAAAAACTCTAAAGGTTAAATACCCGAAAAAAAAGTTACCCGTGCTCTTTCAAAGCTTATTATTTAAAGAGAAAATAATATCCTTTCAACAAACACAATTTAGCAAAATGTACAGAACTAAGTAACTCTTCTATGTTCATCTTTGCCCCTGACTAAGATTTCAATATTGGAATATATTGAAATACAGAACATAAAGATATTTTTTCTCCGCATGCATAATGCATTTCATTAATGTTCTATAACTTCATTAAGTTACAGAATTGCTCATATAGAACATAATTCTTATCGCTCTGTTTCATAACTAGATGCAACTACATTTCAACCTTTATTTTGTCACTTTTTAAAAT